GAGGAGAGCCTTCTAGAAGTCAGACTGCTGAAGAGAAGCCCAGAGCCTGGAGCCCCCGGAATAGGGATGTGGCAGGAGGTGAGGTTGAAAGATGGAGAGAGCTGGGAATGTGCCTCTGGGGGTGGGCCGAGAGGGAGGGGAAGCCAGGTGTGGCCATGAGGAGCAGTGCACCTCTGCACAGGGCCCTGCCAGTGACCCCTCCCTAAATGGTGCATCCTGTGAGCCTCTCCTGCTGGATCAGAGTCCTGGCTCCACCTGGCGAGAGTCTGGCCTGGGGAAAGAGAAGGGTCACTGCAGCAACAGGTGCGGGCACAGCTGCAGCCGGGCTGGGAGCCTGTTGATGGAAGGCCCGTCCTGGAGGTCCGTCCTCTAGGTGGGCAGCAGGTCACTTTTAAGAATCAAGAAGAGTAGCAGCCAGAGGTTCAGAGAGGCCAGGGAGGCTGTTCTGTTCAGAGAAACCCAGCAAGAATCCTGGCAGGCCTCAATCTTTTTCCTTGTTATTTCTTCTCCCTGCAATTTTTTTTTTATTACTCTTTGAAAAATTCTCATCAGAGTTCCATCTAAGAGTGACTCAAGTGTTGAAACATTTTCCCCCCAAATCACTGTACTCTATCTACTGAAAGTCATTTTGAGTCCAGTCTATTGAAAGATAGGGAAACTATTACAGGGGAAGATGGGCACTGGGCTCGGAAAGCAAAGGAGAGTGATAAAAATACAGGCACTTGGGCTTGGCACAAATGGAAAAGATTGTTATGAAGTCAAATTGAGGGAAATTACATGAAAATTCATGGTTGTTTTTCTTTTCTTTTTTTTTCTTAACCTACAAGTGTTAAAGAGTTCAGTATTAACAAAACAAGTTCTGTGAAAATTAGAGAGAATTTATAAAGAACTGCCACCTTCTTTGGATTCCTTTCCTTTCAAGAGGTGATCCAACCTATTCTTAAAATTCTTATTTAATTTTCACAGTGCAGTTTCTCTTTCTGGAGAATTTTTTAAAATCAAACTTATGGCTATTTGATACAGGAAAACACAAATTTTTATGTATTAATGGGGTCCCATGTGACATTTCAATACAAGTATATATAAATACACGTTATCAGATGAAACCTCTATCTTCTCAAACATTTGCCACTTCTTTACAGTGAAAACATTAAGATCCTTTCCTTGGCTTTTTGATGTACAGTACTCAGAGCTGTCTACAGTCACCTTGCTGTGAACAGCACACGGGAGTTCTTTCTCTTCACTCACCTTAGTCCCTAGGTCAACCTGTCCCCACCCTCCCTCCCCTGCCCTCCCCAGCCCTTAGTAACCACCCTTCTACTCTTAACCTCCATGAGATCAACTTTTTTGATCTCCACATGAGACCACATACTTATGTTTATGTGCCTGGCTCATTTCATTTAACTTATTGATCTTCATTTCTATCCATGTTGTCACAAATGACAGGGTTTCACTTTTGAAACTGAAAATATTCCCAATATCCACCGTGTGTGTGTGCCACCTTCTCTTTCTCCATTTGCCAGCTGATAGATGGCTCAGTGGTTTCCATTTCTTGTGAAGAATGCTGCAGTGAACATGAAGGAACAGGCCTCTGACATGCTAATTTCATTTCTCTAGATATGCACACAGGAGTGGGTTTTTTCCCATAATGGCTATAATAAACATTCTTATCAACATGGTGCAGGACTCTTAGCTACCTCCTCACCAGCACTTGCTTTATTTTGATTTTTGATAACAGCCTGGAGTGAGTGATATCTCACCATGGTTTTGATTTGCATTTCTCTGATGACTAGTGACACTGAGCATTTTTTTTTTCATATACCTGTTGGCTTTTCCATATACCTATATGTCTTCTTTTGAAAAAAAAAAATATCTACTTAGGTCTATTACCTATTATTCAATGTTTTATTTTGGGGGTTTTTGTGTATTATTCTTTGTTGAATTTTTGAGGTTTCTTATATCATCTGGGTATCAATTCCTTGTCAGATGTATAGCTTGCAAATATTTTTTCCATCCTCTGGGTGCCTCTTCACTCTGCGGGTTGTTTCCTTTGCTGTACAGAAACTGTTTAGTTTGATGAAATCCCATTTGTCTATTTTTTGTCTTCATTTCCTATATTTTGGGGATCTTGTCCAAAAAATCCTTCTCCATTTCCATGTCCTGAAGCATTTGCCCTCTACTTTCTTCTAGTAGGATCACTGTTAGGGGATCTTACATTCAAGCTTCCTATTCATGTTGAGTTGATTTTTGTCACTGGTGAGAAAGAGAGGCCTAGCTTTCTTCTTCTTCACAGTGTTCCCAGCTTCATTTATTCCAAAGGCTGTCCTTCCAAACTGTGCTCTTAGCATCCTTTGTCAAAATCAGCAGCTGTGGACATGGGGGTTCACTTCCAGGCTCTCTATTCTTTCCTCTGCTCTGTGTGTATGTTTATAAGCCAACACCAGGTTGCTTGGTTGACTACAACTTTTTAACAATGATGCACTCTAACACTGTTGCAGTTAACTGCAGATAAAATAAACCCTTCCTCTCAAATCATTGTGTCACTGCAGCAAGACAGCTGTCCTTTAAATTCAAAGACTTGCATAATCAAAACCCCCACAGAGGCAGCAGTTTTCCTACCAGGCACTTGACATCAGCTGTTGGAAGGAAGGGAAGGCCAGTTGAGTTCTTGCAGGTTTGAGAGCAGCCACCCATGAGGGCAGAGCTGTGCCACTCCTGTGATGTCCCATCCTCACAAAGCAAATCTCTTGAAAAAATGCCTCCTATTCTGCAGATATTTCCCAGTTCCAGAGTGTGGGGAGCCATCTCAGATCCATGGTCCACTCAGGGAAGGACTACCTATGGGAGAAGGTGGATATTTACCTGCACTAAAGCCTGGAGGGGGGGCCTAAAGAGCAACCCTGAGTCATGCCTGCAATCACATTTCCAGATGGAAAAGCACTTCCTTCAAGGGGTGGTTACTAAAAAATCTCCTCTTGTATGCACAGAATGGCAGCAGGTTACAACAGTGAGGACACCCTAGTAATACCAAACTGAGAGGCAAGTGGCAGGTGGCACTGGCTGCTGTTTTTACAAAGGCAACAACAGAATGATCCCACCTATGAAGCCAGGGAAGTGTCAAGTCTTCCTGAGCGCTCTCATTCCCTCTGCACCTGTCCCTGCAGTGATGGGGGGGTCTCTGAAAGACATCTCAGAACCTCACACTGGCCGTCCATTGGCAACAATTAGAAACCTCTGGAGAGGGGAACAAAGCAAGGATGTACTGTTTGACCGAACGGTTCTGGGCATTTCTTTCCCACCATGGGCTGGGAACTGTCTTCAGTCTATCTGCCATTTCCCAAGGGACTTTTAAACAGGGGATCAACCCTGCAATAGAGGGACTCTCCCTTCCTCCTGTCATTTGCTAGATTGTCTCATCAATTGGTTGCTTCAGAGCCCTGTCCTTTCAGCTACTTGGGAAGCTGAGGCAGGAGGATCACAAGGTAAAGGTCAGCTGGGCCACAGAGTGAGACCCTGTTTCCAAATAAATAAATAAAGGGTTTTCACACAACGCTTGTTCCTGAAGCCTAAGGCTACACCACCAGTGAATGCCTGATTCACACTGGCCCCCTGAATTCCAAAGCCAGGCTCTCTCTATCTACTCACCAGCCCCAACCCACCAGCCCCCTCTTTTGCAAAACTCAGGGAGAGTCAGACCTATGGGTTTAAAATCTATTGAAATTAGTTTGTTGGGACAATCCTTAGTCCCATGAAGAATAAGAATTGCCCAGGGCAACCCAGTTTCAGCAAGTTTGCCTCTAACACTGTGGGCAATGAATTTTGCAGGAATGGGATTCATCTCTTTATCTCCCATCTCCAGGTGAGAATTTTTGCCTCTGCTTAGTAGGCTCAAACTCTGAATTCCTGAGGCCAGGACTCGTCCCAGATTGACCAAGAGACAGCCAGGCTTTCAGCCTCTGCCTTGTTTGCCTCAGAGCCTCTGCTACCTGGAACAGAGACCTGGTTAGCCCCAGAGCTGGAGAGTAAGAGACCTGGGGAAGCAGAGAAGCCAACAGCCTAGCACCTTGGGAGCCAAGCAGCTGGGATGCCTGAGAACTGCTGCTGAAGCAACCCCAGGCAGAGGAAGGGCCTGACCTGCAGAGAGACGTCCTCCTCCCTCTCCCCCTGTCCTTCTCCCTCTCCCCTGTCCTTCTCCCTCTCCCTCTCCCTCTCTCTTTTAGTGCTCCCTGGACACAGGCCATAGCGGGAACAAGCCTGGCAGGTCCCAGACTCCCAGACCTTGGAAAAAGCTCCGACGGTAAGGGATCCCGACCTGTGCTAGGGTTTTAGGGCCTTGGTAAGCTTGTAAGTTCGCGGTCTTTGCGGGTTTATGGCCCCGGATTCGGTACGCCAGCGACTCTGTCCACGCCGATCTCCACAGAGCCACCTCCCCGTGTGGTCCGGCCCTATAACGCCCATGGACTTCACCCTGATCTTTTGCGCAATGCGACCGCTTTTTGTTGCCTGCTGGGTGGGGCCCCCAAGGGAGTGATTTGGGGGGAGCAGGGATTCCCCAGAGAAAGCAAGGGGGCATCGAATTGGAAGGAGATCCTAAGCCAAACCACAGCGGCTCCGGAGACCGGGGCTGGCGGCCCTAGAAGCCAGAGGAAGTCGGGATCTGCTAGATTCCCGGGGACCCAGGATCCCTGAGCTAAAAGCCCTGAGTCTGGCCTGAGACCCCGCTGCACTGGGAGGTGGAATCACAGGGGCGGCGCGTCGGGGTCGCGTCAGGACCAGGGCGGGGCAGAAAGCTGACCCCGGGGCGGAGACGTGGATTCGCCCCTCCAAAGCTGGCTGGGGACGAAACTTGCCACCGACACTCACTCAGGGCTCAGGCCCGACGGCATTTAAAAGCGGGGGGGGGGGGGGGGCGGGGCTGACAGCACCTGGCGCTGTTGCTGGATGGAGCACCCATGAGTTTCGGTGCCGAACCGCCAGTCCAGGCCCGGGAGAGGCTGGACATGGCCTCGTACTGCGACGGACTGGGCGCCTGCTCGAACCCGCGCGGCCAGGCCCGGGCCACCGCAGCGCACCCCCCGGGCTATGCGCGCGGTGACCTGGGAACCGCAGGCGGTGGCCCGCGCCTGTGGGTGAATGCGCCCGCGCTCAGCCCTGCGCCCTACGCGTCGGGCCCTGGACCCGCACCACCGTATGCGGCCCCGGGCTACGCAGCCCCGAGCCCGCTCCTCGGCGCCGCGGGCGGCCTGGCGGGAGCCGACCTCGCGTGGCTGAGCCTCTCGGGCCAACAGGAGCTACTGAGGCTGGTGCGGCCGCCCTACTCCTACTCAGCGCTCATCGCCATGGCCATCCAGAGTGCGCCACTACGGAAGCTGACGCTCAGCCAGATCTACCAGTACGTGGCCAGCAACTTCCCTTTCTACAAACGGAGCAAGGCGGGCTGGCAGAACTCTATCCGCCACAACCTGTCGCTCAACGACTGCTTCAAGAAGGTGCCCCGCGACGAGAACGACCCAGGTAAGAGTGGCGCGCCAGGTGCAGAACTCTGCGGCTTCCCGCCGCTGGGCAGTTGGCACTTAGGGGTGGGAGAGACCTAGGAAAACCTCAGTCCTCCTCGCACAGTGGAGAGAGGGGAAAGGAGAGACGTCTTGGGTATGGACAGGCTGCCAGATGGCCCTAGAACCCACAGCCTCGCAGATTTCCAGTCCTGTGCTTTTTTCTAAATTTCTGTGCGCTCCTTAGGAGAAAGAAGCAGGACTGTTAGCCAGCTGGTGACCTTGGTGGTTACTTAACTCCTCTGAGCCTCAGTGCAGTCGCCTGTAAAATGCGGAAGACAATGCATAAGCCCTAAATTGACAAAACAAATGTCGCGTCCCTTCGGAAAGCGCTCTGGTTTAGGCTGGATATATGGTCAGCCCTGACCTGGTGGTAGAGTCAAGAAGATTCAGCATCTCGCAAGCCTTCTCTCCCGCCGAGCATTTCTCGGGGTAGGGGTGGGGGTGGGGGCGGTGTCTGCTTCTTCCTTTCTGGAATATCTAAATTATTCCAGTGGGCTGTGGAGGTTCAAAGTGCCACTTCGAGGTTTGGAACGGAGAATAGAGATCTTGACCCCCTGGAAGGGCAAGCCGTCCATCTCCAGACACGTAAACGTGGGCGCTCTCTTCCCCTGCAGGCAAAGGCAATTACTGGACCCTGGACCCAAACTGCGAGAAGATGTTCGACAATGGGAACTTCCGGAGGAAGAGGAAGAGGAGAGGGGAGGCAAGTGCCGCGGCCCCCTCAGGAGCCAGGGACCCAGGGGGAGACCCCGCGCCTGCGCTGGAGCCCCAGGGCACAACCTCCCCCGACCTGCAGGCCTCGCCGTCCCCGCCCGCGCCCGAGGCTGCAGCCTGTTTCTCCAGCTTCTCCTCCGCCATGGGCGCCCTGGCCGGCAGCCTAGGACCCTTCCCCGGGGGCCTGGCGGGCGACTTTCCCTTCGGGAGGCCAACGATGGTGCCCACGCAGAGTCCCCAGACCCCTGGCCCCATGCCGGGCTTTGCCTCTGGCCATCAGACGACTGCCACCGGCTTTCGAGTCAGTAACCTTGTCTACAGCCGGGCAGGGACTGAAATTTGAAGGGAGGCTGGAGGCCCGCCCGGGAGCCTGTCCAGAGGTGCTGAGCCCAGACAGGGGATTCTGGCCTGGAGCTGACCCTGCCAGCAGTGGCTTGGGAGGGAGCCCGGAGCTGGGGTAGCCAGCCCCACAGAGAGCTAAAGGGAGCCGCGCCTCCCTCACCCAGGAGACCCTTCCTGCAGACAGGCTCCCTGCTCGCTCCACTGGCAGATCCTGCCGCAGGGGCCTGCATCCCGTGCCCTTCAGGAATGAATTCGCCTTCAAGGTCGATGTTTGGATCTGCTCCAGCCCTGCAACGGAGAGCCTGGCCACGCCACCCCCCAAAGAGCCTTTATATTGATGGAAGGTGGACTGCCTTAGCCCCAGGGACCCAGGATGGCCCCAGACTGGGGATGCCCTCACTAGGCCAGCAAGGCTGGGGCAGGGGCTCGGAAAGAGGGCTCCAGAGCCGGGAAATGGGGGTGGGTCCGGTAACTTTTTACCACTCTGGCCAGGAGTGCGCAGGGAGGAATCCCCTGGGACTGCTGGGGTTGGAACTCCTGTACGCAGGGACTAATGTCTGGAGCTACCTGGGCTGGCCAAGAGGGGTCCCTGGGTACCAGCTCCATTTTCTGCCCCTCCTGACCAGGCATCTCACATGGGCAGACTACAGCAACAGTTTAGCACCCTGGAATCCCCTCACCCCATCACACTCACCAGAGCTCACCTCAGGCAGATCTGTGGCCACACCTGCTTTGGGTCCCTCTCCCCCCTACCCCAGATTAGGCCAGAGATACCCCTGCCCCAGCTCCTGAGGGCCTCCTCCTGTTTGAATTTAACCCTTTAACCCCCTGACTCCCACTCCTGTTTGGTTTTACTGAGAAGGTAGCTTTGTGACAGGCAAGGAGTCCGTCTGTGATCATTGGGAAGAGGAATTTTGGCCTCTCTACTCCAACCTTGAGGCCCTGGGGTCCCCAGTGTAGTGGCCTGTCTTGCCTATTTGTGGCATCTGGCACTCTGTGGAGGTGTGGCCACTGGGGGGTGGGACTCAACCCTTCCCAGCTGCCCTGCACTCCAGAGTGGGTGGGAGACACGCTGCTCCTGGAGGAGGTCAGAGAAGGGGAAGCTTGGACAGTGGAAGCTGTTCACATTTAGTGGGTGGCCCTTTAGGGAGCCCAGCCTTGCTTCTGCCCAGCCTGGGTGTTGGTTTTCCTGGGTAACTAAAGCAGCCTCTGGGCTGTCCCCACACTCTGCTGTGCTCCTGGTGAGCGAGGAGAGGGGGGCAGAGGGAGAATCTGGAGAATGGCCAGGTGCCAGGTCCAGAGGAGCTGAGCTCCAGCACCAATTCTCTTCTAGGAGGCAGACCAAGCCAAGAGTTGGGGTGCATTGAACCCTGGTCACATACTTTCGCTGTGTGCCCTGCTGGCTGCAGGTTCTAACTCTTCAGTGTGGCATTTTGGCTGCTGCTTGCCATGAAGAGGTGAGCAGGGTGCTGGTTATTTGGAGGTCATGGTGTTCCTAACCAAACTGACAACCAACCCATAATCTCCCTCCAAATGATATGCAGTTCAAAAAGTCCGGGAAGGAAAAAAAATATCCTTAGCTTATGAATAAGAATTTTATCTTTTAAGCCTATTTTAAAAGACAAAATGTTAAAATGAACACCAGTAATAGCGGGCATACCCATGCTCTTCCATATAAGAGTCCCCCCACTATCCTTGGCATCCCCACTTTAGACTGCATTTGCTAACAAGTTGGAAAGAAATACTTTTTTTAAATTAAATTTTGAAATGGTGGGAAAATATAGTTCGACAATCAATGGAGCTTTTAGAAAATTGTCTGGCAAATAAATATGTAGGCATGTTGCATCACAGCTGCTTGATTACTAGGAATTGGTGAAAAGCTGCTATTTTTATCACTGGATTTTTCTGTTAAAATTGAGAAAAAAAATTTGTTTTGATGTTTAAAGGTTGGTCAGTAATTTAAAGTTTTATAACACTAATATTTAATGGTATTTGAGGGAAAAAAACCTAGTTAAAAATGATTCCAGTAGTATAGGGTGTATGGGAATAGATGGAGTCAGATGCCAAATAGAATTCATTCCTCCTTCACAACAGTTCCTGTGTCTGGGTTTCTATTCAAGGCGGGGGACCCACACAGATGCAGTGCAAGGGCCCTGGGGAGTCAGCTTCATTTTCCCAGAAGGAAGAAACTGCTGAAATCCAAATTAGTAAGCAGAACCAAGCAGGGTGTGAGCACTGTGTAGTTAAATGCCCTTTCTTTGGCTTGGATCTGGCTGAGCTTGGTCTAGGCTGCATGCCTGGGGAAGTTTGGGTCCACTTGGACAGGGAGGGCACAGCTGCCAAGAAGTCAGGAGGATGTAGTCACCTGGCTTGGGACCCCATGTGGCACTCAAGCCCCATTTTCTCTCCCATTATCTTCTTTTGTTGCCTTTGAAATCATGAATCCTATAAAAAATTCCAAGTTTATTTTGAGGTAATTATGAGCCTTTGGCACAAAGCGCACTTGGGCTGTGCCTTATGGACACATGATGGTAGCCACCACCACGGCCTTGTTTCACCTGGAGAAGAGAACTCAATGGTGCTCAGTCATTCCGCATGCAGAAAGGAATCCCAAAATTCAGAGGGAAAAGGCAATTAAGAAGTGCCTGGTCTGAGCAATTTAGAATTCTCTCCATGGACACACAGCAGTGGTGATTTTCAGGTGACTGAAAACCAAAGAGCATAATGAAGTTAGTTGTCATCTTACCTGGTCACTGAGTAAAAAAAAATCCTTATGCAAGAAGAGCCATCCATGATCAAGACGCAAACTTTCTTAGAAGATGAAGTAATGTTTTAAAAAGTGAAACACGGATTTCAAGATATGAGTTTACTTTTGCATATCAATCAAACATTGAGTGTTTGTTTATAAAGAACATAAAGTTTTGCATTTTAGCAATGCTGCCTTGGTGTATTAATCAACTTTCAGTCTTTTAATTTCCTAAAGTATTTCCAGTGCCATCAGGAGACATTTGTCATTCAAGGTTTTGACACTGCAGCAATTGCTATGGCTTCAGTGAAACAGGAACATGAAGTTCATCCCCATTTTATAGATAGAAAACCCAACTCAAAGGGCTAAGTTATCTGCAGAGGCTCATCTGTGAGGAGCTACAAAAGGCTCCTGACACACACAGCCTTCAGATGGCCCATATTCAGAAATGTACCTGTATGTATGCACATATTTGCACACGCGTACACACACCACAGAGCCCTGACCTGGTCAGGATCCTCTAGGGAGAAGTCATTGGTGATAGCAACCTGCCTTGGTGCCTGAAGGCAGAGTACTGTCTTTGAAAATGTCACATTTGTATTTAGAGTTTGGGTGGGAGAGGAACATGCGGAAACATCATGGAATGAAATAGTGGCTGAGTCCCATACATCCTAATAAAATGCAACGAATTCAGTAAATCTTTTGGAGTGCCAACTTGAACGCAGCTTTGCATTCCTGCAGAGAGTAACCAGGGCCCACTGCTGCCCTTACAGAGCCTCCTTCCACTGGCCGAGACAAAGGAATAAGCAAGTAAGGTGGATAGTGGCCATTGACTCCAAAACAATGACTCCATGATCAAATTGTAAACCATCTCCTTTGCAAACACACAATTCCAAGTACCTTCTTGTGTCGTTAAAGTACACCTCACACCTGGCTGTGTTCGCCACACTCTGCCAGCTGCTTGATTTCTTGGTTCCTCGTCACTTTGGTGTGATTCAGGTGGGCACTTGAGCACAGCCCCTGGCTACTCTGCATACTTCTCCAGAGCAGCTTTTAGGGACAGTAACCTGAAGCCTGTCTTCTTAATTGGAAGAGCTGTCATCTGGTGATGACAGAAGCTGGCCCTTCCCTGGGCTCCTGGGTGTCATTCCTTTGGAACATACCAGATCCCTGGGTTGTAGTTTGGAAATACTGTCTATCTATCTCATTTTTTTTTTTATACTAAGAATTGAACCCAGGGGCACTTAACCACTGAGCCACATCCTCAGCTCTTATTTTTTAATATTTTTATCTACAGACAGGGTCTTGCTGAGTTGCTTAGCACCTCGCTAAGTTGCTGTGGCTGGCTTTAAACTCACCATCTTCCTTCCTCAGCCTCTAGAGCCGCTGGGCGTGTGCCACTGTGCCATGTGCCACCGCGCCGGGCTTGGGGATTCTTTTGATGCCATTCAAATCTGACCCTGAGGTGAGGCCAATAGGGTGGGTCCCTCTACTTAAGCTTCACTTGGAGCATGAAAGCAGTCCTAACCGTGGTAAATCCTGATGTAGAGATCCCAGGCCGGCGCCTCCTGGCCCGACTTTGAAGAGCAGCTAGACAGGTGGACCTTCATCTGAGGCATTTTCCAACTCCCCTTCCCCTCCACCCCTGTGCTCCCTGATCTAAAGGCCCTCGTCCAGGAGGGGACAGGGCATACCTCCCCAGCAGCAGGAAGGATTTGAGGAGAGCAGTTCAATCATGCCACAGGTCCATGGGCCTGGGCTCAGCAGGACTAAAAGACAGGAGACACACGGAGTATGTGTGACAGGTGATTTTACTGCCCTCTGGAAGTGCAGAGGAGCCTGCCTGTCTCCAGGCCCCTAATTGTCCCGCAATCCATCACTGGGCACTCAGGCCTCGCCCTGCACGCATCAGTGCTTGGGAGCTGCCTGGGGCGCACATTAGCCTCAGCACCTGACCAAACAGCTGGGGAGCCTTTGACAGAACCTTGCCTTGCTGGGCCAGGACCACTTTACTCCAAGAAGCCCCAGGGCAGGTCAGGTTGGGGAAGACTGTCTTCTAGTTGGAGCAGAATTAATACTTTAATGAAAGGTTTCTGTTTCAGGATTCTTGGAAACCCTGCACCTTGGTTCTTCAAGTTCCTTTTGTGAACCTGGGTGAAGAGGACCGCCTGCCTGCTTTATATGCGTTCTGTTCTTTGATTTATTATTTTTCACTTTTTGCTAAAAAGAACAGATCCCATTATATATATATTTTTTAATTGACGGAAATTAAAAGCTATTTGGTATGTTGTTTTAAAGATGCAACATGTAAGAAAGAAATCAAAGGGAAATAAAGAGGAAAAAACTTTTTAAAATATTTTTTTCTGTTGTAGATAGACACAATGCCTTTATTTTATTTGTTTATTTTTATGTGGTGCTGGTAATCAAACTCAGAGCCTCACACATGCTAAGCAAGTGCTCTACCACTGAGCCACAACTCCAGCCCAAGAGGAAAAACTTTTAAAGAATAGTTTGTCAT